CGAACCCATCCCATCCCCATCTTCATCTTTATTCTCATCTTCCTCATCCCATCCCCATCCCCAACCCATATCATCCCCATCCCCATCCCCCTCCCCATCCCCATCCTATCCCCATCCCATCCCCATCCCATCCCATCCTACCCTGATCCCCACCCCAATCTCCATCCCATCCCCACCCCTCCATACCAGCTGCACGTGCAGACGTGTGCCACCCGATGTGGCTGTTATTCCCACTGCCACCACGCTCTCCAACTGGGAGAACTGGAAAATCCATCCGTCCTGATCCTCCCCATGCAGAGCGCAGCCCCATCACTTGCCCAACACCACGACCCCAGCCAGGCAGTGCAGCTCCAGCACCTTTTATTGGTTTGGGCTGCAGTCCCGACCTCCCCGTTGCGTTCCCTCTTCCAACGCCCCGTCCCGCTTTCCCCCTCTGGGCTTTTGGGGTTTCTAGAGGAGGGGGGGGGGCCGGGTCCAGCACCGCACTCCCACCCCGCAGTCCCCATCCTGGGAACACGGATGAGGATGATGCAGATGGGGATGATCCCCATCCCCAAAGCCGCTTCCCCCCTACGCCGAGTGCAGCTTCTGGTGCCGGCGCAGCTGGGATTTGTGGCGGAAGCCCTCCCCGCACTCCACGCAGATGTAGGGCTTCTCGTCGCTGTGGGTTCGCCGGTGCCGGATGAGGTTGGAGCTGACGCTGAAGCGCTTCCCGCACTCCCCGCAGCAATAGGGCTTTTCCCCGGTGTGGGTCCGCTGGTGCTGGATGAGCGCCGAGCTCTCGCTGAAGCGCTTCCCGCAGGCCCCGCAGCTGTAGGGTTTCTCTCCGGTGTGGATGCGCTGGTGGGTGACCAGGTTGGAGTTCTGGCTGAAGCCCTTCCCGCAGGCCCCGCAGGTGTAGGGCTTCTCCCCGGTGTGGGTGATGCGGTGCCGCACCAGGTCCGAGCTGCGGCTGAAGCCCTTCCCGCACTCCCCGCAGATGGTGGGGCGCAGGCGGCCGCCCCGCAACCCCAGCAGCTCCTCCAACGGCCCCAAAGCCCGCGGGTGCCCCAAAGCTCCGCTCCTGGGCTGCGCTGCTGCTGCTTTCCGACGTCGCTTTGCGGGGCGACCCGGTGCCTCGCTGCCGGGATGGGCTGAGGGGAAAGCGGGGCTGGGCTCCGAGATGTGGGGCTGTGACCCCTGCACCCCTTCCCCATCCCCTTCGTGCCTTCTTTGTCGCCTTTACACCTTCTTCCTCCCCTTCGTGCCTTTCCCATCCCCTTTGCACTTTCCCTGTTCCCTTCCCTCCTTCCCCGTCCCCTTTGCAGCCCCTCCGTCCCTATTACCCCATTTCCATCACCCTCTCCATGTCCTCTTCCCCTTCTCCATTCCCTTCGCATCATCCCAATCACTTTCCCACCCCATCTCCATCCCCTCTTCCCCTTCCCCATCATCCCCTCCGTGACCTCTTCCCGTTCTCCATCCCTTTTCCACCCATTCCATCCCCACCCACATCCCACTCTTCATCCCATTCCCACCTTCCCCATCCCTTCTGTCCCTTCCCTGTCCCTTTTCCACCCCCTCCACCCTCCTTTCTCCGTCCTTCCCACCCCATCCCCAATCCCCCCACTCCATTCCCATCCCTTTTCCACATTTTCTCCATCACCTCTACCCCCTCCCCACCCCCTTCCCTGCTTTGGGGACATCCCTGCACCCTAAAATTGGTGTCTCCCCCACACTGTGAGGCACTGGGACATCCTCATGTTATGGGATCGGGGCATCTTCATGCTGTGGGATTGAGGCATTGCCATATTATGGGATGTGGGCACCCTGCACCCCCCACCACCAGGACACCCCCACACTGTGGGATCGGAGCGCTCCAGGACCCCCCCCCCCGGTCCCAGAGTGCCCCACAATCGGGTCACCCCCCCCCCACCCCCATGCGTGGGACCCCCCTCAGCAGGTCTTAGGGGGAGGGGGGTCTCACCTGTGGCGGTGCTCGCAGGGTCCCGGGGGGGGTCCGGGCTGGAGGGCCCCCCCTCTGCGTCCATCACGTTCACACGGGGAAACGCTGTTGGGGGGTGGGTGGGTAATGCAAAGAAATGGGATGAGCACGGGAGGGGGGGGGGAAGAGGGGGATTACAAGAACCGTCCGCAGCACCAGGACAACCCCCCTCCCCCCCCCCCGCACTCACACCGCGGCTTTGCCTCCTCCCCCCTGAGCTCACCGGGACCAGGGGGCGGCAGTGGGGTCTCCAGTGATGGCGCAGCTCTTGTCCCCCGACCGCCCCCTCCCCCCTACAAATACAACCCCACCCGCAATGGGGACGGGGACGAGACCCCCCCCAGCCGGGGGTTGCGGGGGACCCCGGCGCGCGGCCCCGCGTGGTGCTGGGGGGGGGAAGGGGGGGCGAAGGGGGGAGCGCGGGGGGTCCCTGTTCGTGAATGGTGGCAGTTGGTGTGGGATTCAGAGGGGGTTATGGGGGAATTGGAGGCCCCCCCCCCCACCGCACTGTGTGTGGTGCTGTGAGCTTGGGGATGGAGGGGACACAAGGAGGTCCTTTCTGCCCCCATCCATGTTTGCAGCATGGGGCTTGGGGGGGGGGGGGGGGGGGTAGCATGGGGTCATCCCAACACTTCCTACAGTATCCCAGTATGTCCCAGTACATCCCAGTGTATCCCAGTACATCCCAGTGCATCCCAATACATCCCAGTGTATCCCACTGCATCCCAGTGCATCCCAATACATCCCAGCGCAGCCAGCACTTTCCATTGCATCCTATTGCACCCTATTGCATTCCAGTGCATCCCAGTCAATCCCAGTGCACCCAGCACAACCCAGCGTCTCCCAGTACACCTCAGTACATCGCAGCATACCCAGTAGTTCTTCCTGCACCCCACTGCCTCCCAGTACTTCCCAGTGCACCCAGCATTCCCATTGCATCCCAGTACGTCCCAGTGCACGCAGCACCTCCCAGTGCATCCCAGCGCTCCTCACGGGTGGTCACTGTCTGGGTGACATCGGGATGCCCCCAGTCCCGTGCTCCAAGTCCCGGTGCTCTGACCCATTCTGGCCCCAGGACCTGGAGAAGGGGCGGGACTGGGAGCACCGGTGTGAACTGGTCCCAGTGTCACCCAGCACAGGGACACCAATGTCACCCAACATGGTGACACCTCGCTGTCACCCCCCAGTGACACCCAAACCCCGGCCCCATGGGGACACCGGTGTCACCCTTATAGGAATATAGGAACATCCCGGTGTCACCCAACACGGTGACCCGGAGTCACGGGGACACCCCCATGTCACCCTTACGGTGCTCCCCCCCCCCCGCTGTTCCCCCCTCCAGCCCCACCGACAGCCGCTGCCCAACGCCGCCCCGCACCCCCGAACCCCCCAACTGGGGCCCCCGGCACCCGCTGGGCGAACACAGGGAGAGATGATTGGCGGAGAGCCGGCTGGGGGCGGGGATTGCGAGGGCCGGCTCCTGGCGATTGGAGGAACTCGCATCGTGAGGGAGGAACTGATAGGAAGGCGGAGCTTAGAGGGGCACCGCGCGCTGATTGGCGAAGTGGGTAGCGGAGCGAGGTTAGGAATCTTCTGCGCATGCGCGACCGGGTTCGTCTTTCACTTCCGGGTAGCGGCGGCGACTTCCGCCTCCGGCGGCCTTGCAGAGTCTGCGCCGGTTCCGGGCCCAGGTTCCGGGAGCTCGTCGCGCCCCGGCCGCTCCAACTCCGTACAGAACTCCTCCCTCCCCCGGTATCCGCTGCCCCTCGTCCCACCCCGCCCCGGCATCGCTCGGGGCTCGGGGGCCGGGCCGGGCCTGGCGGGGCGGCGGCGGCGGGCGGGCGGGCTGCCCGCAGGATGTGGTACATCATGCAGAGCGTCCAGAGCAAATACTCGCTGTCCGAGCGCCTCATCCGCACCATCGCCGCCATCCGCTCCTTTCCGAGGGACAACGTGGAGGATCTGATCGGACGGGTGAGCGGTGGGGGCGTCCCGAACCGTTCCCGTTAATAAAGGGCCGGCTGCGCGGAGGCCTCGTGTCGGCCTGCAGCTCCTCTCGGGGCGGCGCTGAGCTCTGCTCTCCGTGACGGCGGCAGGGCCCGAGGGAACGGCGTGGAGCTACGTCGGGGAGAGTCGGTGAGGGGGGAATAGGAAAGAGTTTCCCCACCAGAAGCGGGTGGGCACGGGAAAGAGTAACTGCGAGCCAGAAGCGCGCCCTGCTGGCCAACAGGACCAGTTTTTCTTTGGCCGCCTGGCGATACGACTCACGGGTAGCCGTACTCTCTTAACCCCGCCGTGTTTCTGCAGGGCGCGGATGTGAACTGCATGCATGGCACTCTGAAGCCGCTGCACTGCGCCTGCATGGTGGCTGACGCCGATTGTGTGGAGCTGCTGCTGCAGAAAGGAGCAGAGGTAAACGCCTCTTTGGAATGGAGCCGTGGTGTCGTGGTTCTGGACTCTTTGCTTCCTTAGCAAGGTGGAACCATCGATTCTGAGCGCTGCCAGAATTGTGCTTTGTCTTGGTGGCAGCTGCTCTGCTCTCTAAAAGAGTAGAATGGGTCTGGGTGAAGGTGTATCGCACGAGCATGGGAGCAATTCCAGCATTTCGGTAGTGTTATTGCCTGAGATTTTAAGTGTACCTGCTTGAAAACAGACTTTTGATGAAAGCCTGAGAGAGGCGTTAAGTGCTGTAGGTTTCCTGCTCAAATTTTGGCAGCTGGTAGATTGCACCCCCCACCTTGTGTGTGCTTTATTTTCTCATCCTGTGGAGGAATGTGACCAGAGTCCAGAGGAGGGCCATGAAGATGCTCAGGAGCTGGAATGCCTCTTATGAGGAAAGGCTGAAGGAGCTGTGGGTGTCCAGCCTGGAGAAGAGGAGGCTCTGGGGAGACCCTCCAATGCTTAGAAGAAGCTTAGCAACAGGGGAGAACAACTTCTTAGGTGGGCAGGTTGCAGCAATAGGAAAAGGGGGAATGGCTTTAAATTAAAGGAGAGGAGATTTAGGTTAGATGTCAGCGAGAAGTTTTTCACTGAGAGGGCAGTGAAGCCCAGAGAGATGTGAGCGCCCCGGCCTTGAGGTGCTCAGAGCCACGGATGGGGCCTGGACGTGTGATGGGAGGAGCCCAGGGCAGGGGGTGGAGCTGGGGGGGGGGGCTTCGAGTTTCCCAACCATTCCATGGGCTGCGGGCAGGGCTTTGTGCCCTGCTGCTTTCGGTCACCCTGCATCTCCCCACTCCTGCAGGTCAACGCCTTGGACGGCTACAACCGCACGGCCCTGCACTACGCGGCCGAGAAGGACGAGACGTGCGTGGAGATCCTGCTGGAGTACGGAGCCGACCCCAACGCCCTGGATGGCAACAAGGACACGCCGCTGCACTGGGCAGCCTTCAAGAACACGGCCGAGTGCGTGCGCGCGCTGCTGGAGAACGGCGCCCTGGTGAACGCCCGCGACTACAACGACGACACGCCGCTCAGCTGGGCCGCCATGAAGGGCAACCTGGAGAGCGTCAGCATCCTGCTCGACTTCGGGGCTGAGGTGCGGGTGGTGAATTTGAAAGGGCAGAGCCCCATCTCGCGACTGGTGGCGCTGCTGGTGCGGGGACTGGGCACGGAGCGCGAGGATTCCTGCTTCGACCTCCTGCACCGCGCCATCGGACACTTTGAGCTGCGCAAGAACGGCAGCATGCCCTGGGAGGTGAGCAGGGACCAGCAGCTGTGCGAGAAGCTCACGCTGCTCTGCTCGGCGCCCGGCACTCTGCAGACCCTGTCGCGTTACGCCGTGCGCCGCAGCTTGGGCGTGCGCTTCCTGCCCGAGGCCGTGGAGCAGCTGCCCCTGCCCACCTGCCTGAAGGAGTACGTGCTGCTCCTCAGCTAGGCACGGGGCGGCCGTGGCTGCGAATCCTGCTTGCTGTGTTGACTGGCGGGCGCTGGATGGACAGCGGGACCCACCGACGGGCGCCGTCTCCTCTCCTTGCCTGCAGCTCTTGCCCTTCGCGAGCTCCTTTTCTGCGTTTTCAGCCTCGTCGAATGAACTGTCCTCCCTTTAACAAATGGTGAATTCCATCCCAGCTGCTGCATTCACCTGTTCTTTCCGTTGGGGTAGGCCTTGGGGAAACGGAGAAATCTCCTCTTTCTGAAGGACTCGAGGAGAGGCCGGCTGGGTGAGCACGTGCCATGTGAGTCTGCTCCCTGGGGTGAGCACCCACGGCCTCCTCGCTGCACATGGCGCCAGGGCAGACATGGGACCCCCCTGCTGGCACCCAGCAGAGCTTTGTTCACTCCCATGTCTGTGATTTTTTTGGATGTATTCAGGGAGAATCAGCGCTTTAGGGAAAGAGAGAAGACGGGGAGCCCTAGGGACTGCATTGTTTGCAGGAGGAAACCCTTCGTGGCACCGATGGCGTGAGGGCTGGGGAATGAGGAAGTGCCCTGATGGATGCCTGAGCAGTGAGCAGGGCCCTCGCTGCCCCCTCATCACAAACTTGGCCACAACTGCTGCAAAAAGAGGAAACTATTCCCTGCTGTCACAAGCACAGGGTGGTCCTGAGCGAGGGCTTCACCTCTGATCTGCCGTCCGAGAACCCATCCCAGTTCTGGGTTTGGTTTTGCACTGCCAGCTCACCACGCCAGGGCTGCTTTTATTGATACGTGTGCAGTGTGTGTGTTTGGAGGCAGGGGCAGCAGCTCCTCGCGTGGCAGAAGGACACAGGGCTGCAGCTGAGGACGCAGAGCCGCTGCCTGCCCTGTGTCTCATCCGTCCCCGGCTTCCGTCCACAGAAATAAAAGGCTCCTTGCAAGCCACGCTCTGTAAGGTTTTGTGTTGCACAGCCAGCGGGAGCAGAATTGTGCCCTGTTCTCATCTGTCACCTGAGAATCCTCGGGGAGAGCTGCCTCGAGCTCCCAGAGGGGAGGTGAGAAGGGTAAATACGGGTAATTACCCTGGGGGGGGGGAAGTAAGGTTGCGTTTGTAGGGCTGCTGTGTGAAGCGTGGGGAGCCTGAGCACAGGTTGTGTTTTTGTCACCACCACGGGGCGGTGCTGCTTTATTGAAGCGTCACAATTCTGAGTTTCAAACTAAAGTGATGCCCTACAGCCCTGACCTCTGCTTTCAGGTCAACGCAACGTCCTGCCGCAACGCGAGCCGCTCGCGGAACGCTTTGCTCTTTCAAAAGCCCATAAAACACCTGGCTGGATCTAAACCAGCCCGAAATTACCCTGAGGAAACCCTCGGTTTTCGGCAAAACTGCTCTTTCAAAAGTGAAGATGCTGCGGGGGATTTGGGGGGGGTCTTTCAGAGGGTCGTCCCTCACATGCTGTACTCCTGCGAGACCCTCTTTTGCCTGACGTGCTCCAT